GTGATTCATACACATTACGTGTCCGGCCCACCTTATCTTCGACTGTTTGGGGTACAGAACGGCATCTTTAATCTTTGATCGTTGACGCAGGTCGGAGTTTCCGATCCCATCCCTTACTTGTGTGAAGCAGGTTACTCTTAGCATCGTTCTTTCAACTGCGCGTTCGATAACGATGAGTGGTCTTTCATCCTGCTTAAGCAGCGACGGAGCTTCTGACGCATACGTTAGGGAAGTACCGTTGAGTCGAAAAGGTGGGCACGGAGTCGGGTGTTCTTTGCTATCATCACTACATCCTCGACACTCTTCAAAGCTCCCCAAGCCGTTCGTTTCCTTCTGTTCAGCTCTGGAGCTAAGTCGCTTATAATATTGATTTCCCGACTTAGATAGATATAACTGGAGCATTCGGAGATATTCGTTCCGTTGAGCGAGAATGTGGCACATGAAACCAATCCGTTCTTCATAAACATCGTTTTTGTAAGATTTAGTAGAAGGCCAATCTTTCCACATGCTTTATCAAAGTTGGCAAGCATACGTGATGCTTGGCTAATGTTTGGTGTTATAAGGACGATGTCATCAGCAAGGCGAAGATGGTTTAATTGCTCACCATCGATTTTCACTCCCATATTATCCCATTCTAATGTTCGCATGACGTTCTGGAGTGTGGCGGTAAATAATTTTGGCGAGATAGTATCGCCTTGCCTATGGTGATATCTTGGTTGTGAAATTTTTGCACAGCTCACAAAGAATCTTTATTTACTGAGTAGCGACTCCTTGACTATCAAGAGCTTCCAAGTCTGCTTCCATCTCAACTGAATCAAAGGCCTTCTGTAAATCGATGAAAGTGAGGCAGAGCGGTCTTTTGTACTCTCGCGATACTTCAATGAGCCGTGTTACCGTGCGGATGTGGCCCATTGCACTAAATCCTCTTCGAAACCCTGTTTGCTCACATGGCTGTCGTTCGTTTAGTGGATTTAGTGTCAATCCTGTTTAGGATGACTCGAGTGAAAAGTTTATAGACGACAGGCAGTAAGCAGGTTGGGCGATAGTTGCCGATGTCGTGCAGGTCATTCTTGTTGAACAATAACACGGTCTTGCTGGTCTTCCACTGAGTTGGGACCTCGCATTCAGACAGGTAACATGTAAAGAATCGAGCCAGTGTGCTTACGAGGACTGGTGGAAAGTTCTTCAGGTGTTCCAGTCTTATCCTGTCCGGACCTGGCGTTGTTCGATTTTTCACCGACGAAGTAGCATGTCGGATTTCGGAAAGGTGAACCAGTGGTACAGCATGTCCATCTTCTTTATTTTATATGACGGAAGGTGGACGTGGCTATCGAAGAGATCCGAGTAGTGTTCGTGAACGATTTTTTCCGTTGCCTTTCTCGTTGCTGTAACTGTTCCATCTTGTCGTCGGAGTACAATCATCTTGTTCTTGTAATTGGCGTATGTTGATCAATGACTCAAACGAACCATCCACATGTTTCATATTTTTAGGATAGAAATTGAAGTTAATGTAAAAGAAAAAACATCTGAATAGTAAATGAAAAATGGATAATTAAAAACCTTAGCTGCTAAATGCGAAATCTTTAAACAAAATGAAGAGGGTAAATGTTTTAAAGAAGTTGTTTTTATAAGAATTAAAATTTATGTGATAATATTTCGAAACCGACTTTCCTTGAGCCTCTGTGTGACTAATCAATATGTATTCTTTTTTAATGAGCTTTCACGAGGTTGAAAATTATATTTATTTTCGGCTAACGTTTCGTCGTCTTCGTCCTCCTCAGAGCCGATGATCCGAGTCGATGGTCCACGCTTGTTATTCGTCTCGACGTGACGGCGTGGCAGCTTCGCCTTTGTGTCGAATCAGGTCTACCTCAGAGGGCCATCTCCTCGAATGAGACATACTCACTCGGTGATGCTATCCACCATCAACAATCTGCATATAAGGGCATCACCGAGTAAATATGCCTCATTCGAGGAGATAGCCCGCTGAGGAAGACCTGACTCGGCGGGGAGGCGGAGGCAAAGCTGCCACATGGAGACGAATAACAAGCGTGGACCATCGACTCGGATCATCGGCTCTGAGGAAGACGAAGACTTCGAAACGTTGGCCGAAAATAAATGCCGTTATCAACCTCGTGTAAGCTCATCAAAGAAAGAATACATATTTATGTAATAAGTTCCATGTGTTCCATGTGCTGATGTTCTGATAGTTTTTGACATAGTAGGCTGCATGTTAGTTTGATCTTTCAAAGGAGCGCAAACAGTCTAAACGCCGGCTCTTATGAATTAATAACAACAACCCTTTCATCTGCTTACCTTCTCATCGTGACTGTGAAGTGTTCCTGGATGGCGGACTGCGACGCATAGTGGAGGGATTCATAGCCCAGCAGGGTTTCCCAAGTTGCGAAGGAGCCAGGCGTTTCCGTCAGGAACTCCAGCTAAGAGTGAACTAATACCAGGACCCACCACCGTCCTGGTATGAACCTAGCCGCTTGGTGGCACACCTCCCTCTGATCCACAAGGTCGGCGACTGTCTAGGGTTGTGACGACTTGGGGAAGACTTTAGCTACGCTGGCTAGAGTAAACCAATACCAGGATCCACCAACGTCCTGGTATCACACTAGTCGAATGGTGACGTGGCAAATTCCTTGCGATCCGCAAAAGCGGTAACTGGCTGTGGTGATGACGACTTGGGCAGACTTTGGCCAGGCTGACCTCGGGACTCCAGGGAAACACAATAGCTAAACCAGCAACACTCCGAAAAATGGAGGTTATACTGAGGCCCGCACAACCAGCATGGACTGGTCGTCCAAGTATCGAAGTAATTAAGGAATAGCAACCTTGTGGTTGCTCATAAAGGAAGCAGTGAATTACTGTACAACGTCGAGCTTGAAAGAAAGTTGCTCCTGGGACTTTCTTGAAAATGAGACCGCTTGTTTGTCAATAAGCAAATCTGTCAAAATTAGCAGTCCCCCGAGACACATGATATCTTTGAAAGAGATATCACTCTCATCCCATCACCCACAACTCAACCACTTTAGTTCCCAGGATCGACTTTCTATTAGCCTCGGCATTGAAATATGAATGCGTCGTTTTCTTGTTCAGCAACCGCGAGGTTTTTAAACAGCATACATTTACTTCCACAGAGAAACACAATACAATACAACACTAGCTGACGCTTCGGCAGTATCGCCTTCTTCAGAGCCTGGAGTTTGTACCCTATTCATACTCTACAATGAATAGCAGGGATGAATGCCCAGAGGTCATACGCGACCTGACCCCGTATGTTCGCATCAATTTCTGATGTGGGATGGTGCAGTAGTCATCGACCATATGCGACTATAATCAGTTGTTCTAAACTTCTTCATTGGAAGTTACGTAAAAAGCGGTGAGTTTTTCGAGAAAGAAGCTGTTGGTCATGTAATTACCAAGGAGTTTTTCGTCTTTTTCTAAGTGTTATTGAAGCTTTGGCTTAGTAGATTGTATATCAGTATACCCTCCCAGGCTCTGAAGAAGGCGATACTGCCGAAACGTCAGCTAGTGTTGTATTGTATTGTGTTTCTCTATGGAAGTAAATGTATGCTGTTTAAAAACCTCGCGATTGCTGAACAAGAAAGCGAGATTTTCAACTACTTTAGTTTTTAGTGGTAGCCTAGAAAACTCTCAAGGGACCTCTATTGCTGACGTCGTAAAGGGTTAATCTCGTTTTTGAGTTAGTGGTGGAACGATTAAAGGATAAGGCGTTCGGAGCTGATCAATCCTAATGGATGGGCAATTTATACCAATTCATTCGTAACGCTTTAAAAATTACTGAACGCATATCTTAAAAACCGATTTTCATTAACCCTCGGTAGCAGCAATCAATAATTTTCCGTACAGTTCCACTAAAAGTTGGTATGGAACTATTATTCGGGTAACGCTTCGACTTCGCCTTTCTCAGAACCGCCGTGATCCGAGTCGATGGTTCACAGCTGGTGGAAGCCGCCGCAGCTTTAGCCGAATAGGGGTTTTATGCCAACCTAGTGTTAGTTCAATGGTATAGAAAGTTATTTATTATTGAATAGTTGTTGAATACATATTTAGCCTATGCAATAACATGCAGTAGTCAAATATATATGATATCAAAGCAGTACTTCTATTGCATCAGACAAGTCTGGTACTTTTCCGACTCAAAAGGCATCGAGAGCCTATATGTAATTTCTCTCTTAGAAACCTAAACTCGCCATCTGAAAGGCGAGACGGCACCAATGACCGTGCGCTGTTTGCATCAAGGCGACCTCTAGCCACAGTGCTACACGACTTCTCATCTGTGCAGTGGTAGCAAAAGACACCTGTTTTGACGAAAATATCGCAACAGAAAATCGTCTTTCCTTGATTGGTTTTTCTGAAAATTTCAATTCAGCATTGATGCTCGACCGTGAAGGTAGTACAGTAAGTATGTCAAGTATAGAAAATTTTGAGTGAGGATAGAATAAATTGAAACGAAATTGCCTAAGCAAGAAGAAGAAATCATGAAAATTTTTTTCAAGAGATCTGGCTCAAATGAGATGTGCACTGACGTAGAGATGAGAGAAATTCTGGTTTAAGTGCCAACGAAATTTCCGACTAGAAATGTAAAACTAAGTGTAATGTGTAAAATATTGCTTTCTATCCGTAATGATGTATATCAAAACTCTGGACCGCAAGTGTCTGCGGTGGCGAACGAACGCCCTATTACCCCTTCGGGGACTAACGCGACTAGTGATTGCTGATGGCACTGATCAATAGAAAACAAGCTGAGAAACAGGCGAAACGAAGGACCCGCACTGTGTGGTGGTGAACGCGTTGGCCTTTGGAAAGGGTAATAGCACGTTCGCTCCTTAACACATAGCTCTGCGGTCCAGAGTTTCGCAAATATCTCAGCATCATTACGGTTGTATTTCATTTGCTATCCTATTGTGAAAAAATGTAATAGGCAGCGAAGAAAAATTTAGCATAGCTTTCTATTTCTATTACATATTTGACTCAGATTAAATGCACGTTAGCATGGAGTGAGTGAAAAATCTTGCTAATATTGAGATCTTGCTAGTATTAATTTTTTTCTAGATCAGCTTGAGAAGTCTACCTTCTGTGACGGTTGCGGGCTAACACTGGCGGCGGTTGATGGAAAATTGCAGTCAAACGTCCTAAGAGATTTGAAGATACGCAAAAAAAATTTACTGAACTTTATTGGCAGAAGGCTAGACCACTTTGCGTCCCTATAAAAGACTACCTAGATAGTAAGTTAAGCAAAATAACTACTACAATGCTGAAATATTTGCAAAACTCCGGACCGCAGGTGTCTGCTGTGGGGAACGAATGCGCTATTGTCCATTCCGGGTAGTAACGCGTTCATCACCACACCATCCGGGTCCTTTGTTTTGCCTGTCTTTCAGCTAGTTCTATTGATCTTTTGCCATCAGCAATCACCCGTAAGTGGGATTGATCTGGGAAGCCCAAATCAGCATTGAACCCAGTTAAGCTGAGGCTATAGTTGTAATCACAATCTTAACCTTTTTATTCACTGCTATTCTTTTTGAAGGCAGGGTATTTGTGAAATATGCTTGATACTTGGATTTGAACGCCTCGTCCTCACTGGTTGTGCAGGCCCCAGCATAATCACCATTTT